AAGCGTCCGAAGGCAACTTCTTAACCCACTTTTCAGGTCCACCACCTCCACGTTCGCCATACTTGCCTGTCAGTTTACTTATTAATTTAGATTATGTCGTACAAGAGCTAATTGCCACGAAACGTTAGACGGTTAAACGAACGAAATTCTTACGCCAGCGATCTAACCAGCAACGCATCCAGGCCTGTTTAAAATAAAATTCTCTACGATCGGCAAGTCGAACGTCATTTTCATTAAAAACATGATGGTCTTGTCGATAAGTTTCTACGTGTATCTATAAAGAGACGGGTTGTATATTAAATAGGGAAAAGTGGTGGGGAATTATTTTAATTCATTCGCCATGATAAGAAGCAGAGTATATCGAATAAACCAGTATAATTTCTATTTGAGAAATTATACGCGTGGTAATAATATTTGTAGCGTATAATCGCATATATAAATTGTTTGTACAATGAAGATTTATAGTTTATAAATTATGCTCTTGGAAAATATATAATTTAGAAATTATTTTATCGTAATGCTCGAATAGAATGTAATAATTCTAATTGTATCAATAAAATGAATTATCAAAGTGAATGTCAATATATTACAAGAATCAAATATTTATGCAATTATGATATTTATGCATTTTAATGTCTCCAAAAATATAACTAAACAACTCACATTCGTAGCATCTAACTACGTTCCAAATAATTACACAAATATTAAAATAATAACGCGAGTACGTATCTTACGTTGAATATTCTGCATTATTTTTACACCTTCGAATTTCTCATCTATACATAAATAAAATCCACGATCCACTCAAAACACTGTATTTAAAGAAACTGAAGAAAAAGACTCAAGTGGAAGACTCACGAGTCGTTTCCCATTGGTCGACGAGGATTTGGAGGGGTCATGGATTCCGACGAACGAGGTCTGGTTGCCTAAAATCTCACGATTAAGTCGGACAGGGAACCCGAACTCACTCACGAACCTTCTGCTCTCCTAATAAAGTGATACAGTTTATTGGACTTCTTCAAATCGGAATGCGGTGTGAGTGACACGATTATCTTCTTCGGGGAAGCATCTGTCGCTCCACCAACTTCTTCTTGTCATTGTTATTGACAAAAAGTCATTGAGGAAGCCGAGTATAGTATTGACGATATACTTACGAGACGCGTGCTGGCACGTGCGTTCCTTTCTATGTATCTATATGTACGTATATATGTGTGTGTTACTTAGGCTGAGACCAACCAACTGTATTTTTATACTACGCTGATAGACTCACTATGCTTGGTCGACAAGTGCCAGCCGAGTGGGCAGAAAAAATGTGTCGCAGAACTAGAGTCGAGTTCCGCGTGAGTCACTCAGAGAACGCCTCTTCAGTTTAGCTGACGCGTGCCTTTTTTTGTGTTTACATAGTAGCTCGTAAATGTGCTCGAACGTACATAGAAACTTTTTATACGAGTATATTAGGCGCGTAAAAAGTTTGTTGAAATTTCGTCGACGCCAGGAAAGTCTCCTTTTGTATGTCAGTTTAACGCTCTGACGAATGTTATTCCGGTGTATATAGATATATTTGATAAAATGTACATTTTACAAGAATGGAAAAAGAACTGGCGGAAGTTTCAATGATATACTAAATATAAGTCAGAATACAAGCGTGCTGCCATAAACACAGTATAATGTCCGCTTTATCTGACGTACAGTGGATATGAAGTCACAGTATAGTATAGTAATGACGTCAACTGGATTGACGTCACGTATAAAAGATCCACGAGAATCTTGGAATTCACTTAATCGCAATACGTATCGGTTATCGGATCGAAACGTTTCCATCTCTTATTTGAAAGCTTCCTAATTTAGCTGCGAATAGCTAGCGGAAGCTATATTTTAATAAGACAAAGATTGCCCATGTAATAATTTATATATAGGCACTGTTCACGATGACAAAAGAATTAGAATAATTCTGCAGATGATAATAGAAGCTGTTGACGATTTAGGCGATATTTAAAAATGAAATAATTTTAAAGAAATCGTCTACGTGAATCTTTTCTAATTCGCGTGCATAATTAGTTACACTAAATGTAAATAAATTAGCATTAGCTGCGAAGTATAATTACATAAATACTGTCAACATCACGGATCATTACAGATGAGGATAGATCAGCAAGAAAAATTGGAAAAGGAATATGTAATTTGTTATAAATTATTTAGATGATCTCATAAATTATTTATCTGTTAGCTTCACCAATGAATTAAATCAATATTAACCAAAATCGACATTATCCACGGAACCGACTATCGTCAATCGCAAATATATCACGCAAACAATGTTGCAAATTTATCGTTCGCACGCGCCTTATGTCCAAAGGGTACAACCAAGTACCTACTTTATATTTGAACACAAATATTATTGAAAATCATTTCCTACCCCCCGCCCGCCAAAGGGACATCTCCACTCTTAACTAAAATATTTCCAATTGATATAAAGAAGCATACAGAAGCAAAAAGGCGAGCGGAAGGGCAGGACAGTCGAAGAGGCCATTGCCGCACTGCCTAAAACGGCACCAGAGTGATCCTCTTGGCAGATTCTGCGACCCTGGTAAGGCTGTCAGCCAGGCTCATTTTTTCTCGGGACAGCCGAAAATTATTATCCATAGTCGAAGGATAATGGCCCTCGATGTCCACTAGCTGAGCAAGCTCGATGGCGAGAAAGCTCGCTCGGTTTGTTGCTTTCCTATTACAAAGTGGTATTTAACTCGCCTATGGCAGGTCACGTGGGTGAAGCTACTCGAACGTGTCCGATCGCGTGCCAAGTCCTCGGTTTCTAGTCGCCTAATAAAAAAATAGCCGCATTATCGATCTTCTGCCGATCGACTTTATCGTCACGGTTCGAGGTTGACGAGCATGGGGACCTCTGAGACGACTATGCTGGCCTGATCCGTGTCTCCTGTTAATATACATATCTGAGATGAACGTACGAATTCGCTTCGCTTGTGAGCGAAACCGTCAGTCAGCCACTTGCTGCTCGAAAATTGTCTCGGATGAAATTTCATCCGACACGAATTTCGTTGCAACGTTATCGCCTCGTTAACGACACCGTCGCAGTGCTATTTACAATTTTGTTGCTTTCCGCCTAATGGGATTTACAAAACGTCCTTAAGAAGGACGTAAGTCATATTGTTGAGTCATATTTTTTATAAGCGGGCAATTTTTCACTTCATTAGGATATTTTGAGGTGATTAGGCTAATTACATGTTCTTGCTTCAATACCAATGTATTTTATTTATGGTTCTTGAGTTGGGTATTTCTGTCAGCCTTCTAAACCGAAGTATTTACAACGATAACATTAATTATTAATTGGTTCTATATAAGATATATTGACGTCATGTCATCTATCTTTGCAAAGCTCGTATTTTTCGCTCTATCGAATCAATTGCAATTATATTTTATTCAAATAATTGTATTTATTCATAGCCAGCAAGTAGCGTAGAAATTAGAAAAATCAATAAAAATCGATTCATACTGAACGTTCAAAAAAGAAGAAGGCTTCCAATAAGGTAGATAAGAAACAACTAGGGTGAAATTTCGCTCGTGGTAACATGACATCCTTTAAAAATGCCAATTTGTAGTTCTTTTTATCACATATGTTTGAAACCTCGAACTTCCATTTCTGCTAACATGAATATATTTATATGTATACATATATATATAGATAGACGGATTACACTGTCAGCCTCGTCGTAGACAGGTTTCTAACTTGCGTAATAGAATCTATCACGGAAGCTATTCTTATCATAAATCTGCCGCCGATAGTGGAAGCAGCGTGTGTGTCGTCTTCGAAGGACGAATCGAACCCTAAAGAGTTGCACACATGACATGTTAGCCTGTTCTTAAAACCAACCAAATTTAGACCGTTCAAAGGGAAAGGTCTGGAAGCAAACCCTGGCGAAAGAGTAGGGGATACGAGAAGATCGCCTCCATCTAATTTTAATTATAAGACACGCTATTTGACCAAGTGGACAAGTCAATAGTCCATGCCAGACTCAGAGGCTTCTGTTCGCCTGATAAGTGGTCAAACGAAAACATTTGTCAGCCAATGAAACGGAATAAATTATCCCTTTGATACTCATCAGCGCGTACAAAGTAGCATTTTCCTTTCTTTTTTTTTTTATTTTTTTTTTTTTTGAGGAGGGGGGTCATATGTTATACTTTGTTATCACTTCGCAGAGTGGTAATTAAATATGTTAATAGTAATTTAATATCGTTTCGAGGGGTAATCGGATAATTTCGAGAAGTTAAGTTGATTTTAACCGAGAGATTGTGTGTAGTTTATTTAACGGTGATAAACATTTCATAATTTTAGCTGTAACTTGCTTGATAATTTTATTACTGCAAAATAATTTCCCCATGGAAATGGAAAATGCCTCGATAGAATGAGCATCGTTTTACTGTGCACGATTTTAACGAATGTAAAGTATCGATAAGTAATAACAACTTATGAAATTTTTTCGAAAATTATTTTTATATCTATATATATATAATACAAAATTTCAAGCGTAATAACACATAATTCATTTCATATTACACCCATTAAATTGAATATTAAACATTTCGAATTGTAAACTACAAATTGTAAAATCCTGTTCTACGTTGATCGATATTTGCAACAATGTATACTTAACTGTACTACCATATACGATATTATAATTAAACCGCGTATAGTATGGAAAATTTGCAGATGCAAAAATACACAGAAAGCACCTAATAATCGCGAAATATGGGAAATAAGCCACTGTCTAGAATATCTATACAGGTGTATAAGATACTAACGATAGGTAAAGCAATTTTCTACCTAGATTCTATATTTTTCATTACATCGATACAAATACGAATGTGCATGAATATCATCGGTCTAATTACAACTGTTTGTGCTTAGATACCATTTACGCGTAACGACTAACCAATCGAGAGAAATTGAATCGTTAATTGAAAGGGCCATTCTCTGACAATATTTACTGTTGCTCGCAGGTCGCCAATTGACGGTGTTCAATAGTCAATCGACTATTCAAGTTGGTGGTCGATGGAATCGCAACAAAGGCAGAGTAGAGAGGTCGTTCTTGGGCATAATCGCCGGTCTGGTCGTAAATGGCGCTCGAATTTTGGAACTCGCTGCGGCGAAGGATGGAAGAATTATCACCAGAGGAGATGTTCAGTTATTACCTCCAGGAAGTCTGCTGGACCGTGCTGCTCCGTTGCAGAGGATGCAACAGGTAATCAAATTTCCAAGGATATTTTACGCAGTCGTTGGTCAGGGAAATTATGCACATGATGATGGATGCCTGGAAAATTAAACGTAGAGAAATCGCATATAGAAAAATTAGAAAAATGCAGAGGATAATATAGTTGCTCACTTGATTTATAGTTATTTGCTTCTAACAAATTTGACGAAGATTTGTCTGGTTATTTAATTGAGTTGTTGTACTATCTTCTATTAATTTCGAGTCTTGCGATTTTCGTTAAAAGGATTACGTAAAGTATCGTAAACGACGATTATGTTTTACACGGAAAGATATTCTGTTTTCGAATTTTGTTTTTGTCTTTTAACTAGGTATTATTCACTGATAAATCATTCGCTAGCAGTGTTATATATAGATATTGTCGTGCGTTTATAGCGCGTTCATCAGTACGTTATATAATTGTAATTAATGATGTGTAACATCAGTTTGTGTAAATCATTGTGAAGTCCTGGGCTTAATTACGCTTACGAAGGGTTTACTCGTAATAACCGAATCCTATATTAGATGTATGAATATTAGAATATAGATATGGATAATAGAAATTGGTGATTCATAAAAATTCTCTAGCAACGTACATAACTTTTACCGTGTGCTTTAATAAATATGAATATCACATTGAAGATAATGCTTCCACGTGTTCTAGTAAAATTAAACTGCCTTAAATTTCCAAAGTGAAACTGTATTTTACCTAATACTTTTAATAATCATATTGTTAAAAATATTTAATTACCTAAAATATTAATAGCCTAACCCAGACCCTAATGCTTGTAATAATAATATTGTTAAAAATATTTAATTAGCTGAAATATTAATAACTTAGCTCTGACCCTAATACTTCTAATAATAATATTATTATTAAGACTATTATTAAAAGTATTATTATTACTCTTACTAATATTATTATATGTTATTTAATAATAATTTTACATACTAATTATATACTATTGAATAATAAAATAAAAGTAAAAGTAACTATTACTTAACAATAATATTATTATTAAGACTATTATTAAAAGTATTATTATTACCTTTACTAATATTATTATATATTATTTAATAATAATTTTATATACTATTTATATACCATTTAATAATAAAATAATAATAAAATAGTAAGTAATTAGTAAAAGTAACTATTATTTAACAATAATATTATTATTAAGACTATTATTAAAAGTATTATTATTACCTTTTCTAATATTATTATATATTATTTAATAATAATTTTATATACTATTTATGTACTATTTAATAATAGTATTAATAATAATACTATTATTAAATAATATATAATAGCATTAGTAAAAGTAATTAGTAAAAGTAACTATTATTTAATAATATTATTATTATTAGTACTATTATTAAAGGTATTAGATATTTACAAATTGTTATCGATTATTCAACAAAAATTACGTAATTTACTTAATATTTTCTTCCTTCATATTAGCAGAAACAACGGTCCAACGCTCGAACGGAATATGCCTTTTTATTCAGTACGACGCAATAAATTTTCATATCTCTTTTCCACCGCAGACGCCGGCGTCCGGTTTCCCAGGCGTCATGGACGACCTCATATTTTCCGGTGCCGGAAGTGGTTGCGCCGCCGACGACGAAGACGAAGAATGCACGCCAATCTACGAGCCTGGTTCCGGTAAGTGTAAGTAACATTTCCAAAGGCCGTAAGTAATTCCTTCTGCACGCCTGCTCGCGGAGGAATTTCTTCTACGCGCCTAACTCCTCTTCTATCTACCACATATTCATATTTTATATATATATGTGCGTGCACGTTACACCAACTTCTGCTGCAACACGTATGACAAAGTTAATCGCACGATATTTTCTGTTTTGAGAGAGAACAATTACTCACTGGGAATTGCCAGTCACGCGTCCACAAATCGATCTGCTCGACGAGACAATCTCACCTAGCCATCCGATCATCTGGTCATCTGGTCCAATCGCATGTACATTTGCAAAATAATTTCCATCTCGATGTTATTTGCTAGTCGCAGAAAGTTGCACCAGCTATTCCGAGCATCTATTAATTAAGAGACACCTTCGGAGATCGAGGAGAACAAAATGGGAAGAAATTGAGAAAGAACATAATTTCGCATGTGTAATTTCGCACTGAAAATTAAAGCTGAATAGCCAAGTGTACATATAGACATATAGTGTATACATATAGATATAACTAATTTTTCATACACGACGAATGAACTCGAACGTTATATCGTTCGATCGGTTGTATCGTGGCGAGTAAGAAATGTCCTCACAGCTTTTCGATTCGATCCCTCGTTTTCGAGCTATTCACGAAAAATTGCTTTCTCGCTAGTGGTCGTTTGTCCGCTACGTTACTATATAAGAACGCAACAGCCGACATCTAGCGTGTAGTATGAAAGGAGAGACGTTTAGCACTCCCCTAGACAAGGATGGAAACACATATAAATGGTAAGGCACAGGTCGCCTTTCGGTGGCTCTTACCAGATTTTTTTTTCATTAATTGCAACGCGATGCGGCTAATTGTTCGACGTAAATTGAAAATGAGATTCGATGAGAAAAATGAGAGGAAGCTTAGATCGAAACGGAATTGAAATATAACGTTGGAAATTTGGTTTTGGTATCTCTTTTGTTCGACGATATTATTTATGAAAGTGCTATCGATCGTAGTTGGCAGATTTTTCGACAAATACGTTTTGTCAAAGCAATTTATTTAAAATAGAAATGAAGAAATGAAATCGACGGAGGGACAATATTTTGACAGAGTTCGGCAACTACGGAATCTCTGTTATCTAATATATTATTTATGAAAATGTTATCGATTATAAATGTCGGGAATGAAATAAAAAACATCGATGTGACAAGTCGAGATGATAGGAATTTCGTTATTTGTTTCATCGATGATCGTTTTCGCACTTGTTTATTTTTTCAAATACTGTGATCATTTATAGAAATCAATCATTTCGAAAGCGCAGAACTCTCGTCATATAAATTTATCGTTCTTGTTCCGAATGAATAATACTGATAAATTACTTGAAATATAAAATACACGACATTTTATCATAAACAGCGATGCTGTGCAAATGCAATTTCCACCGGCCCTCTCAACATCACGTACATCGACGTAACATTTCGTTAAATAATCTAACTGTCATTTTCAGTTATCCCGTCATTACGAATGGAAAAGAAACGTGCATTAAATCTGCCCATCGCTTAAACCCTCGATCAAACACGATTTATAATTATCTCGAGACAGACCTAATTATTTCAAACGTCGATTATACGTACATTCGGAAATATGTTTGCAGAAAAATATCGATAAACGCTAATTACTTATGATGTATGCGTGCAAACATTAGAATATGCTGCTGACAGTTTCTGGGATTATTTTATCTCGTATGAACTTCCCAGATATGTTTTTCACGATTAATATGCTTCGTTGAATTAATTACACTGCGTTACGATAACTATATTCTTGGTAATACTCTGTGGTAAATAGCAAAATGCTATTTCAAAATATATTGGTTTGGCAACTAAGTGATTGCTGATCTTGTAATTACCACCTAATGTCAAAATCAGCAATCACTTAGTTGCCAACCAAATAGTCACCTCGATAGCAAATTCATACCATTCATATCACAAAATATCCTCATTAAGCTATAACTATATTCTTGGTAATACTCAATGATAAATAGTCAAATACTATTTCAAAATATATTGGGTTGGCAACTAAGTGATTGCTGATTTTGTCATTACCATCCGATGACAAGTTGGCACATTTTGCTCAGCCCCTGTGCTAATCCTCGTAATATTATAGAATGAAATACAAAGGCGTCCAACAAAATAGTCACTTCGATAGCAAATTCATATCACAAAATATCCTCATTAAGCGATAACTATATTCTTGGTAATACTCAGTGATAAATAGTCAAATGCTATTTCAAAATATATTGAGTTGGCAACTAAGTGATTGCTGATTTTGTAATTACCACCTAATGTCAAAATCAGCAATCACTTAGTTGCCAACAAAATAGTCACTTCGATAACAAATTCATATCACAAAATATCCTCATTAAGCGGAGAATCGCCTCGCATAATCATTCGAATGTACCATAACGCAAACGAAATTGGCGATGAATTTTTCCTAAGAAATCGATTGCGAAAATATCGTCGATGAGATATATATCTCTGTAGGTGAAAATAATAGCGGAACCGAAAGAGGGCAAACGAGAACACACACGCACGAATGGGTTCGCATATCGCATGGCATGCCACCTTTTCGTCTTCATGCTTGCCCGGTTGTATCTTCGATTCATTTGCATATTTAGGATCCCTGGCTGGCGCCCCTCCTTTCTCTTTCCTTCGTCGACCTCCTCGTCTTCTCTGGCAGCCGGCTCGGAAATCTTCTCCGGCTGACTAAAAACTGAATTAATACGATCCCTTTAATAAGTCGACGCGCACCGATCGTCAGGATATTACGAAAGCAGCTAATAACAACTAACAGCTGGCGCCGAGTAATTTTAGGGGCGCGATATTTCCAGCAATAATACCGAGTCACCAAGTATTTAAAGCATTGTACCACAGAAGAACGTATTTTTCTTCCTTTTCTTCGTTCCTTTTCCTCTTTTTTTTTTTTTTGTATATGGTAAAAGTAGATTCAATAATAAGAATTGTAATATTTAATCTACTTTATTATCTTTTACCTTTGCGTTTTTCATTGTGCATTTTACGTGCAGTGTTTTTTCGTTTGTTAATGTGGCGCATTTTCGAGGAAGCTTCCCGCGGGAAATTTTAAGCAATTCGAATTTACACGCATACGAGCGCGGTATAGTTTAAGGGGTTTTACTGAGAAAATTTCGCAAAGGTATCGACACAACGTTATGAAACATAATACAAATGTAATGTAGAAATTCGTCAATGATTAGATACAATACGATATGCGTTAATAATGACGATACGTGAAACAATATATTTCTGGAAATAGACAGAACGTTTCTAGAAATTGTACAATTGAACGAAAGGTTGAAAAGATAATTTCCAATGCACGAGATGAAACATATTCCTGCTGATAATCCTTAGACGTAGATTTCTGCTTTCAGAATAAACATCTTTATTATTTCACCGCGGTATTTGATAATACCACTAATAATCCACTTGACAAAATACCATTTCTCTGTTTATTTTCTCGAGGCAGATCGAGTCCGCCTGTAATTAATGACTAACGTAACACAGCTTAAAGGTTAAAGCTATTTAGGGCCACGGTTATAAAACTTACCCTCACACTTGGTCTAAATTTAGAATTAAACGAAACGTCGATAAACATTTTTACGAGGACGGAAATTTTCCTCCATGTTTTCATTTTCCATATAAATATACTCTGGTTTTTAACATATTTTCTAGTGTCGGTAGATTACGATAATATTCCATGAAATTAGAAACTACGCTTTCCTTCCAAAGCGATGCATAGTGTAAACCTGGAGTTGCAATATTCCAAAAAATATAGTCGAAATACTAAATGAAGTATGCGTATGAATTATACGATTTAAAGATTGCAATTACGTCTTCTGCCTGAAATAATAAACAGCGAGAACGCGCAAGTATGAAGAAAGGAAATGTTAAAATAAACCAGACCAAAGCGCCATACGAATCAACTATAGCTCACGATTACTCGTAACTCGATATTCACATCATCGTTATATCTTTCGCTGCAACAATAGCGCGAATTACGTCAATTACACCCGTTCCAATTGTACCCTCGACCATTCGATCGTCCGATCCAATCGTCTCTCGAATCTTGAAGAAGAATAAAAAAAAAAAAGAAAAACCTCTCCACTCACGGGTTTGATACAACCGATATCCCGATCGCCGGGTTAATAATATCGTTATTCCCACTCGGAGCCCGTCGATGCCTGTCATCCATCGAGCCAGGATCAGCGCGCGTAGCCCGGAATGATATGGTTGAAAATGAAAAACCGACCACGTTCCCGTGGCAACCGAATTGAAAGCTGAAACGAGCCTGATATCGGCCAACAAAATTCCCCAATCAAATACGCATTCTATCTCCATTATCGGCCCTTTCCCTGCGCCACCGCCGCCAGCCCGGTAACCACATTTTCGTTTTCCGTTACACCGATGACGCAAACCGTGGCGAGAACCACGCAATCGTACGGAAATTATGCGAGCGTCGCATGCCATCCTACGCAATTTCAATAATCGTTAACCCCACTTTCTCTCTCCTGCTTCACAGACGACATAATAACGCCCGTCTACGTCGCGCCAACGAGGTCGCCGACGACGTTCAGGCCGAAGCATCACAAGGAGGACCTTCAGCGTCCGTCGTGCGACGACGAGGAGGACTGCGAGGAAGGCTCCGGGGAACCCGTCACCACCGAGGAGATCTTCGTCACGTCCGCCACTGGTCCGTTTCATTTCCTTCTGTATTTTCTTTTTGTCGGTTTCCTGCGATTTTCTTACGTTTACTTTGATCGTATTTTACTCGTGAGCTTGCAGCTATGGCCTGGTGATCGTTAACCAAAGGTATTAATCTAAACATTCGTTAAACGTTCCTGTCTACGTGGCAAAATGACCAACGACCATAGCAGCGGTGGATTAACAGTTTGACTGCCACGCCGAAAACACGTGTTTCGCTCACGAAGCCACGGAAGTATTTTCATTGTTCATATAATGGCAAAATAATAATAAATCGACGATGTGAAAGCTGGTGAATAAATCGGTGCACCGTTCAGGATGGCAGCTAAGTCGGTGCATCGTTCAGGATGGCAGCTAAGTGAGTGCGGGTGGTTCTTCAAACGTTCGAAGATCTTTGAACGCTGATTAGATATTTTTAATAGCTTCGATTATTTCGTTTCAGACAAATTCCGTAGACTTGTCGTTCATTCGCTACAAGCTTCTGCCACGGTGCTATTTCCTATCGGATGTGACACGATCGATCGTCATCTTCGCATTGCAAACGTTGCGTAATCGTTGGACATCCTTCTCGAACAAGGAAGCATATGTGAAATTCATACGACCAGTTCTTACGACTCTTTAATGCTTCTTATCAAACCTTTCTGATAAGGCTCTTATTACGCAAAAATCTTCCCTCCTATGTACTCGCCCCGAGCTTTCACCTCTGCAGGAATTTCGCCCGATTTTTCTCTTTCTTTTCTCTGTTTTCTTTTTCTCTCTTCTTTTTTAGTTTCCCTATTGTTTGTTGCTTTTCGGAACACTTGATTTGCCTATACTCACAACGAACCATACTATCCCAGGTATTGATCCTCCGCGCATAGTTTCCTCTCGTTCACTTGCTAGTATGCGCTACGTGCTCATGCAGGCGGAGTATTTCCAAGACTCGTGTGGTTTTCCGAGGCTCGACGCGCCGGAAATTCGTCTGATGGTCTTTTTTAAGAGCCACGGTTTTCGTATTCCGTTCGCAATGGCTTTACAGAGCATCGTTGATGAAAGAGACTTCTTGTTTAGAGAATGCTCGAGAGGAGTTTCCATTAATGCGTATCTAGTTGGAGAAACATTTCCTGTCACTCGATCCAAGTACTCCTTTTCTATTACTGTCGTTACATCTCTGCATCGTTCGACGATGCTTCTTTTCTTCTTTTGCTTCCCACTCCTCGTCTCTTTCTAATTCCGCCAGTTCAAAGACGGTACGAGCATCATTTACGAAGCTGTTGTTGATAATCTCTTCGAGCTTCTCTCGTCTGCAAAAATAGAGCCGCGATTTTTTTCATGTTAGAAACGATCTCTCTTGCTTTATGCAGGTCGAAGTGGAATGCGCGTAATTAAAAACTAAAGGAAAGAATAGAAAACAATTGCTTTTAGTCGATTCTAGTAGAACGATATGAAAATATCAGACGATTAAAGACGCGCCTTTCTGTACAAGATATTTTAGCAAGCGTTGTATTCTCGATTTCTTCGTATCTTCGTATCATCTAGAATTCATTAAGGTGAAACAATAGATTCCACGAACGTCGAAAATCAACTATTATTTGTACAAATATCGACAACGAAATTTGCCCGTCGAACAACGTCGAGGATCGCGCGCGATGAAGAACGGTCGATGAAAATCGCAAGCAGCCTCCGGTGACGTTCCTCTGCACGCACCACCGCATTAATATTTATTGCTAGCCAGGTAGAATTCGCTGTGGAATCGTCTACCTTCCTTTACGCTGTTCGTAATCGAAGCAAATCGAGTTCGTCGAGCTTTGAAACCATTAACGTGAATAAATGAGAAAAAGTGGGAAAAGAAGCTAACGAAACAAAAAGAAAAGAAAGAAAAGAAATGGAAAAATGGGAAAAGAAGATCGAGGCACGCATGGAAACTCGTTATGGAAATACTTGGCCCGTGGGCGTCCTCTTCATCTGCATATCCCTCAACTTGATGCGGCGAAAGCTCCGCCAATCCCCACTGCCACTGGTTAAGTTGACCGTCACGAAAATAGCACTCCCCCGTTCGACGAGATCGTTGATGCGACTTCTTTTCAGTACGCCGCTCTTCATCGCGGAATAGGAAGCTCCTCTTCATCGCTCGCTCGCCGCTCGTTTATCACGGTTAAGGCAATTTCGCGTCCAACGTCGAGCAAAACGCTCGCAACAATCTTCGTGAAGTTCGTTTCTCCATTTTACTATTCCATTTTATCGTCTTATTGTTCATTTTTATTCACCCGATTCACCTTCGACGAAATCCTGATTCGGCTACTTTATCACGCGATCGAAGCTCCGCTGCAACGTAGCTTCAGCAAGTTTGACTAGTCTCGTTGAAGTAATTGTATCGCGTAGGGAAAAATTGTAATGTAATTTGGTCGAATGGTAGCTGTCGATCGATGGTTTTATGGGCTTCTGCTTCAGATGAACACGACATCGTGTTTCATCTAACGAGAAAGTTTGGACAGCCTTGTTGCAGTAATTGTATCATACCATGTATGCAGAAATAGTAAAGTAATTTGATTGGATAGTACCTTTCGACCGATGGTTTCATGGTTTCTTGTTTTATCTAAATCCTTTCATCCAAAATCCATATTGTTTCATCTAAAATCGATGTCGTACAATTTTTTGAGGAAGTTTGAAAGTCTTCTAGGAGTAATTGTACTATACTCTACATGGAAAAATAGTAGCGTAAAGTAACTTGGTTGAAGAGAGTAGCTTTCGACCGATAGTTTCATGGTTTCTTGTTTTATCTAAATTCTTTCATCCAAAATCCATATTGTTTCATCTAAAATCGATGTCGTACAATTTTTTGAGCGAGTTTGAAAGTCTTCTAGGAGTAATTGTATTATACTTTGTATGGGAAAGTAGTAGCGTAAAGTAATTTGGTTGGAAAGTAGCTTTCGACCGATGGTTTCATGGTTTCTTGTTTTATCTAAATTGTTTCGTCTAAAATCGATGTTCTTTTCGATTTTTTGAGGAAGTTTGAAAGTCTTCTAGGAGTAATTGTATTATACCCTGTATGGGAAAATAGTAGCGTAAAGTAGTTTGGTTGGATAGTAGCTTTCGACCGATGGTTTCATGGTTTCTTGTTTTATCTAAATTGTTTCGTCTAAAATCGATGTTCTTTTCGATTTTTTGAGGAAATTTGAAAGTCTTCTAGGAGTAATTGTATTATACTCTGTATGGGAAAATAGTAGCGTAAAGTAATTTGATTGGATAGTAGCTTTCGACCAATGGTTTTATGATTTCTTGTTTCATCTAAAGACGATATTGTTTCATTTAAAGTCGATATCTTTCGATGTTTTAAGGAAGTTTGAACAGTCTTGTTGAAGTAATTGCAAAGTAATTTGGTTGGACAACAGCTTTCGACCGATGGTTTTATGGTTTTTTCTTTCATCTGAAATCGATATCGTTTCATTTATCGAGAAAGTATGGACAGTCCTGTTGTAGTAATTGTATTATTCTATCTATTGAGAAATAGTGGCGTAAAGTAATTTGGTTGGGTAATAGCTTTCGACCGATGGTTTTGTGGTTCCTTGTCTCATCTAAAGACCATATTGTTTCATTTAAAATCGATATCGTTCAATATTTTAAGGAATTTTGAAGTCTTGTTGAAGTAATTGTAAAGTAATTTGGTTGGATAACAGCTTTCGACCGATAGTTTCATAGTTTTTTCTTTCATATATAGTACATATCGTTACACTTTCTCAAAAAGTTCGAACAGTCTTGTTGCAGTAATTATACCATACGTATAAAAAAATAGTAGCCTAAGGTAATCTGGTCGAATAAAGGTTCTCGATCGATGATTATTAATTTAATCTTCGTATCGTTACATCGTTGGAAGAAATTGAAAATTCTATCTTTATTGAAATCCTGTCATATTATGTACAGACAAACCTGATAGTTTTCGAATATGATAGTCTTCTATTTAATCTTCAATTATCATAGGTATTTACAAGACTCTAAATTAGATTGCTTCATTCATAAAACCAATTAACATCTAACAGACGGTTGCGAGTTTGACGACGAAATTACTTTTTCTTTCCACAACTATTCTCAGCGAGGTGTAATTTTTTAGGACAGCAGACGCTTCGATCGACGAATCCTAGTCGTCGGTTAACGAACCTACCCGGTAGACATATTGTAACTAGTTCAACCGCGAATCGATGGCGAACGTTGTAAAGCGAGCTTTCTGCCTCGCATGTTATGTTTCGTGTGTGCACCGACTTACAATTAGTCAAGGCTGTTTCTTTAACGATCATCGACCCCACGACCACGTCGTCGACTGACATTCCGATTCTAATCGTTTCGTATTCCTCCAGCGATAAAACGAATTCTACTTCGAAACAACAGCGAAGCTTTCTAAGAGAGTCTAAGTAGAGTCAGTACAGTTCTTTTAGAAAAATAGATATTTCCAGTAAAACGAGTATCTTAAACGGAATATCGAAAACACGAAAAACGACAATGTTAGATATTTAGAGTATTTAAAAAGAAGCGAAACAACAAATTACTCGCGCCTCTTCGTTCTCTTCGCTTTCATGGATTCTGCAAGTATTCTCGTGAACTTCGTACCTCGTGAACTCTGCTGAACTTTCCACTGTCGGCAAAGCAAGGCGAGTTACCTCCAGTGTTATACAAAATTAACGCAAGTTGCTAGTTGCTCGACTCAGCTTAATCCAGCCACTTCATCATTAACCACTATCAAACCTACTTCAACCTCGGACGAACGTCAACCGGCCAACTTTTCTTCCTTTAACTCTGCTACGTGCTTTCCATCATCCGACGATCCCTTTAAATTTAGGCGTTTAAATTCAGGCAAACTATCAAACGCGTGATGCTTGTTGAGGATTAGCAGACGAAAGTGTCTCGCAGACTATAGCCAGACCAATTTCACCAGAACCAAATACGTTGCTGCGCGTGTATAGTTCTGTGCATAATTGCTGCGATACATAAAATCTGTTTGCTTAAAACGTCGTATCTGGCATTTCTCCATCGGCCGAAACATTTTAAAACGCTGGAAATTTCTCGTGTATTTCCAGCTCTTAAACCGAGTCGTATCACCGTTACGAAATTCTGGCTGAATATTTTAATCCTATTGTTCTGACCGGGTTTCTATCCCAAATGAATATTGCATTTCGCTAGATATTATCACGATAGCTCACGAGTAGTTTGCAAATATAGCATTTTGCAATGCCACTCGTTACACGAATAAAATAAGAGACCTAAGAAAAGGATATCGGAGGGAAGCGAAGAGCAGAGTTAAATGGAGCGAAGGCAAACGTGGCAAAGAGTATAATATAAATCGTCAGCTTGGAAGTGACTGAAAAGAACAGGAAAACTATAGCCAGCTTTCAATCAATTCGTCGTAAAAATAGAAGCCGAAGATGAGGACCTAACGATCGTCGATTCTTTACAAAACCGAGCCATATTCTTCGCCAATTACGAAACATAACGGTGAGGCTTGTAATTAAGAAACATCGCCAGGCCGAGCTACAAGCACGAGGCACCCGGTGTCTGAAATTTCCCGGAAACTCTCAACCCGTTTTACGTAAACGTGTCTATAGTGGCGCGTTCGTCACGACGTTACGAAAGGGCAGGGCGAAAAAGGAAAGCAATTAACCGGTCGTAGAGCGGAGTTGTATGGAAACGCGTCGGTATGCGTGCGTGAATGATCGAACGGTTGTCCCTGGAAGCCAGGAAACACGAGTCCCAGAGCGCGGTTGGGTGCTCGCAACGTGGCTGCTGGCCACGCACGCGTGAATATCGCCGGCCTACGCACGCGTAAATATTGTCGGTAGCACGTTACTACCCCATCCCCCTGTTCGAGCCAATCGGATACACGTAATTGCAGCAGCCGGCTGACGCTTCCCTCTCTATCTCTGTCTGTGTTTCTCGTTTCCATATCCGAAAGCAGACTCGAGCTCGGTGGCGTACACGACGGGCCGCGAGTACACGACCAGCCACATCAGCACGCAAACGTCTCCAGGCTCGCCGTCGACATCGACCCGGGACATC